TCCATTAAAATTTTAGGGGGGGGGGGCAAAATTTTTAATATCAATATAAGTCTAAAATATAAAATTATATTTTTAACAATATTTTTTTTTTTGGTTGGAAGGGGCTAAGAAACATTCTGTCTATAATTAAAGCGAGTCTTAAGAAATTTACATTTTAAATTTTAATATATTAATGTATTTATGTATATATATATTATATCAATAACGGAAGACAAAAATAGTCATCAAGTATAATTATAAAATATTCTATTGAAATCTATAATCTATCACTCAATTTTCAGTAACAGAATTAAATTTTGACCTTATAAAAAAATCCTGTAGTTTACAACCATTACCGTTACTCACGTAAGACATCTAAAACTTTAAACTACATTTAAATCAATCATAAATCACTTCAAAAATGTTTTGATTTGATATTTTCAACAATACATTACCTATCTCCATTTAACCAACATACAGAGGAAAAATCCAAGTTGTCGGCTTTTTGAAAACCATATTGTCGCCAAATAGAATCACTGATAGTCACTAGTCGGAATAATCCTTTTCCAACAAAACAGCATATAGTATTGTCGGATGGATTTAGTGCCATCTGTAATAATTTATTTATTGTTAATGACACTTACAACAAACAAATTAACAAAAATTAATTCGCGTCAATATAATATATAAATGTATATTATATATATTATGCTGTATACCGTATAGGTATATGTGCATTGTAAATATGTTATACATTTTTAATATATTACATACGTCTAATACTGGTCCTTCGGCATTTGGAGGGTTGCTAGCTTTTACGTAACTCTCGATTTTTGAATTTTCCCAATTGTAGTAATACATCATAAAGTCCGGTCCATTAGTGAGGGCTGCCAAATAAGTATCATCAAATGAGAATTTTATATTTATGAAATTATCAGTTTTTAAATCGGTTAACACGGTTAACAGTTTTTTTCTTTTCATTGAGTCTAGATCATAAATACTAATAGTCGGTTTCTTCTTATCGCCTTTTTCTGCCACAGCTATAACGTTTCTAAATTGTAATAAAAAGTTAGAAAATATATAATTAGTTATAAATGTTAAATGTACAATTTAGTAATACATTATAAAAAAATAAAATTTAAAGATTTTACTTTTTGGTATATAAACCTAAAACCAATCTTATCTATATTTATATAGTAATTAATAGTTATTAAGTACATTTGTACATCACACATGATACCTTTAGAAGTAGTATTCTTACAAGTTACAGTCTAAGTGTTGTACTGATATTAGTGATGTTTAATAGTTTTAAAGGTATTTACTATTTATAAAAATATAGTACACTCTATAATAGATAATTATGAAACGTCTACCTATATTGTGAATCCTCGTGAAAAACAATAACTGCTGATTTTAGTTGTATTATTTCAAAGCAATAACAATAGCCATAATTAATATTTTACTCACATAGTCAAATAGTCACAAATTCAATTATAAAATCATACAGATACACGCAATTACAGTGTCATAACTGATAATAATAAAATTATAAAATTTATAATTCAGACACTTAATTTAACATACTAACAGGCTATATTTTTATATTCTTAATGCTCTTGTATTCTTTAATGCTCAAAATTTGTGTACGTATCAATAAATGGGTTTATCGAGCTTTTTGCTATAAAATATATCACACCTATGATAAAGGTAAGATAATTATCATACCTGTTATCTAATTATATCTTTTGCTATATTACCTAATAATAATTTACATAAATAGTTTTTAAAATGATCATGATTACAATTTCTACGTAGTTACGTTACTTGCATTGATTATAAAATAAACTATTCTACAATGAATGAATACTATAGTCATAACAAACTAAGATAATAGATATACATATATAATAATAGTTTATATTAGTTCGTGCCATATAGTTATGTATATATAGTTTAAAACACATACAAAAAGGTGTATAATAGTTAATGCAAGCATACTTGTTAATGCAGAGGGCCATAGCAGTGATGACCTTTTGTGGTTCAGCCAAATGTATATATTTTTGTTTATGATGGAGAATATTGTAAACGACAAGAACTCCAGATGCTGGATAGATGATTTCATTCTCATTCAGAAATAAACAGTTACCGTTTACTTGAGTCGTGAGACCGAAAAAAAATTTTGGTTTTAAAGTCGGTATCATTACAGGACGTGACATCACACTGATAAATAGAATATATCTCTGAATCACTTTATACGTAGTCTTATAATCTTACATAATTATATCTATTTGTGAAATATAACTGTTTGCTTATATATATACAAATGAAAACACTTAAATCAAAATAAGTTTATAATTTATCTAAATAAAAATTAATATTTTTTTAAATTAAATATAGTATAAATACATTTAAAATTTAAAATACGTAATAAATTATTATATTTGAAATTAAATTAATAGCACAAATATTTTACCTCCCTTTATACCGATGTAGCCATGGAGGTACACATGAATGTAGTAGATATTATAAAAATGTGTTTGTTAAATCGAATTTTGTAATTTCCTATACATAGTATTATATAGTTGCTACGATACCACGTGAATGAAGTAAATACTAATTAGATATACTTTCTGGATCCTGTATCCAGTTTTTTTTTTGTATTTATTTATACATAACTATGTAAGTAGCAATGTTTGAAAAAAAAATTGTATATAATTTTGAGTTTATAGCTATAAATAATTGAGAATGAGAGGCGAGGGTTTGTAAGTATAATGTGTAATGCAATAAGCGCATAATAAGACAAGAATGGCTATACAGTCTATACATGATGGGCGGGGGAGTGTAAATAGTTTAATACCTATTTATTCTGAATTTTAATGTCTAATAATTCCTCAATTAACTTAATATTAAATATTTATATCTATTTATTATTTTGCTAAAAAACAAGATATCTATAACAATATAGGTAATATCGTATTTATATTAATTTTTTTTGTTCATAATATTGGGTTATTAACGTACCTATCCGTTTTATAGGATGATATTCATAATAATAGCAAAGCATAAATTACGCCATATTACCATAATAAAATTAATTTAAAATCTCAATTAATATGACTTTAACGTTAAAATTTATGCATAAATCCAAATTTGTATTTTAGGTACTACTTACAAAATTTGTAATGGGTTAGGGTAGGTAGGTAACTTATTATCAAAAATATTGAATATTCATTTCATGTTTTAATATAGAAATGCATAAACGCACAGTTTACTTCCTGCGCAAAGGTAGGTTATACATTACTACATTAGTGGTAGGTACTAACTACTAAGTTACTAGTTAGGACTTAATGTCTGTAATCATTTTATGTACGATGTACTAAACTACAAAGTATACGTACAACCGTGGAGTTTCATAATTATGAATTAATATAAATTATGTTTAAGAATTATTTATATAGATATTTTATATTATATCTTAAATGTATTCGTGTCCTAGTTGCTATATAGTTGTTCTACTGTTTCACGTTCCAATCTTCGCTCTTCAGGTATATTATTTAATATTTTTCTCAATATCAACCTATGATTTGTTTTCATTATACATAGGTAGTATTAGTATATAATATTTATGCTGTGGTTATCTATGTGGTTGTGGTCACGGATTAATGTATTATTCCATGGTTGTGGTATACGCCGTTGTACCTAATTATCACATAACTAGTGTTATCAACTTATCATTTACTATAAAATACAATCAAACAGTTCAAACGATGTTTTAATAACGAAGTATAAAATAGACTGAAGGATAAAAGTATTAAAAATATTTTGGAGTGTTGACTTCTTCCTGTTTTTACTTTTTACGTCTTACTTTTATGTAATATAACTTATTATTTTAGTGATTGTATAAAAACAGTAAAAATCTATTTACGAATAAAAATTTTTATCTTGTACATGAGTTTTTTCTATAAAGGATAAGTAGGTATGTTCATATTATTATATTATTATTTATTATATACATGATGATTCACCAAGCGCACTCTCTCCCATTTTTTTTTATGATAATAAATTCATTAAAATTTCTTAAATATTTTCAATTCAATAATTTTGTATACCATTTCAAGAAAGTTGTAATGATACAAATTTCTTTTTTCCAGTTAATTGTTAATCAAATAACTTGAAAATATTGATGTATCTAAATTTAAATTCAAATGAGAAGTTTTTGAATCATTTAACTTTGCATGTTAAGGAGTAAAGATAATACAAGGCGTATTCAGAAAGTAAGAGTACTGTTTTCTAGGTCTGTGGGAATTTTTTTTCAAAATTAGCTACATTAAACAGTAGATAAAGTTCTTCCAAACATTTAAAGTACTAGTGAAATTTGATAGTATAAAAATTGATTTTATAGTTAGAGTTTCCATTAAATGTGTCAATTAAGAATCCTACCAAGTGTGAAGTACATACTATAATCCAGTTTCTTTGCGCAAAAAAAAAAAAACCACCTACTGAAATTTTTTTACAAATCAATAATGTTTATGGTTATGGTGTTATGAAATTAACTACCATGTTTAATAGTGTTGTGAGTTTAATGCAAACAGAACAAAATATATTCATGACAATTAGAAGAGTTAGCTAAAAAATTAAAAACTTAAATTTCAGAAAAAAAAATCATAGCCATCATATTTTGGGATAGAAAAAGCATCATTTTAATTCAATTTTTGTCTTAAAGAAACATAATTAATGCAGAACGATACTGTAAGACACTTAAGAAGTTCAATAGAGCAATTCAAGATATATGAATGGGAATGTTTACTAAAGGAGTATGTTTGTTGCACGATAACGTTCGTCCACGCATAGCCAAGGCACTTATGGATAAATTTGGTTGGGACCATTTGCTTACTTTTTTGACTTGGTACCTTTAGACTTTCATTGATTCACCTCTTGAAAATATGAGTGGAAAAAAATATTCAGCCGGTGAGGAAATGATCCTGAACTGTAAAAAGAAGATAGCGAAAGAGTTTTTTGAGGAGGCATCAAAAAGTTTATGCCACGGTTCAATATCTGCATAGAACGGAAAAGTGGCTACGTAAAAAAAATAGCTTACATGTATATAAACAGAACCATCTACTTTTTTTAAAAATTAGAAAAATCTAGTACTCTTACCTTATGGATATGCCTTTTAGTTTCAGAAAAATTTGGTTGAGCATGCCTGGTGAATTTTCATATAAATATTGTAAGATACATAAATTTTCATCATTCATTTATTAACAAAATAAATTATGAAGAATTGATAAAAAGGAAATAATACATATTATTAACACAATCAGTTTACTTATTTCATTATTATTTATATTTTAACAAAATAACTATTTTTATCAGGTTAATTGAAATAAAATAATTTTTTTTGATTATGCTAAAAACATAATAAAATAATAACAATCTTTAATTAAAAAGAATAAGTATACTGCATACCTAATATAAAAATAAAACATTATATTTATTAATAAATTCATTCAAGCTTTAAATTTATATAGCTTATTATTGAAGTAATCTATTCTAAGTATTGATTATAATAAAAACATTTTTTTTTTTCAGTTACTATGTTGTTAATCAAATCGTTTCGAACATGTCATTTGTGTCATTGCTTTAAGATGATCGCATCTAAAAATATGTCAGTTGCAATAAATGAACCAAATGTTGTACCAGAACACTTAAATAATTTGGCTAAACAGTTAAATGTAAAAAGTTCAGTGTTGTCTAAAGTTATAAATAATCATCAAGAGAAATTACAATTTTACACTGAATCAAGATGGCTAGTACTATTTGAATATTTAACTCAATATGATTTTAAAACATCTGAGCTTCTAGAAATGATAGATTCAAATCCAGACATATTAGGTGTAAGTAGACAAGACTTACAAAAATGTATGACTGCCTGGACTAATTTTCGCTTTGATGATAAAAAATTAAGACAGCTAATAGTTTCACAGCCTTCTTGTTTATTGCTGGATGATAAGCAAATTCTATCCAGAATCCCTAAACTTTTATCATATGTTGGTAATAAACAAAATCGATTGTTAGAATTGATATCATATTCACCAAATATTTTGTTTGACAATTGGAAGTATATTGAGTCTAAATTAGATTATTTATTGTTGAATATGGAACTTGGTCCAACTCAATTTGTAACAACGAGTGTAATGTCTTCAACACTTTTTGATTTAAAGTGTAGACATACTTTTTTGATAAAATTAGGAATGTACAAACCACGAGATCCAAAGGCTAATCCAAACCAAATAACTGGTAATCCTTCATTAAAAAAAATCATTGAAACAAGTGATAAGCAGTTTGCTGTTAAAGTTGCTGGAGTTACGGCTGAAGAATTCTTTGTTTTTAAAAAAATATTTAAAAAACAATTAGACGGAGAAAATGAAGATGATTCAGATGAACCTGAATATTACAGTGATGATAATTGATTTTTATATAAGATGTATAATTTGTAGTAGATATTGTTAGTTGCAATGTGCATTAATACGTTAAGATATATATTTGAACATTTACTGTAAAAAATCATTTTAAATTAATTTTAAAAAAAAAATTATGGTAAATGTTAAAATAATTTTTTATTTTCTGTCAATAAAATTTACAAAATATGTCTTAATTTAGTTGTAAAAATAACTGAATTTTATTAATAATTTTCAACTACTTGCCCATTATTGTTACATTAATTATTTACACTTTCATAAGGATATTGTTTACCCCATTTGTTGATTTGTAAATATCGTTATTTTGGTATTTTCACGCTTAGATAGATTTATAGTCTATACCTAGTACCTACTCAATATAACAATTCTGTAAGAAATGGTACTACGATATGAATATTGGCTTTCTCCATTAAATTTAGTAAATAATTGTCAAATATAATATTATTAGTTATGGTATATTGTATACAACAAAAATTAAATGTCTGTTATTAAAAAAATGAAATAAGATTTATCAGTTAACATTGTTAATAATCATTAAGTTATTCAAGTATATTATGAATTTATAAAAATCATAAAAATAACAAAAACAAATAATGTCAATGATTAGAACAGTAAATTTATAGCACTATAAAGATCTTGGTTGCAATATTGCATTAAAATAATTAAAATATTTTAATTTATTTGTCCGTTTACTGTGTTCTTCACCAATTATATTACTAATTTTATGCAATGAAATATTAGATATTTGACATTAACGCCCTACATAGATCTAACAAAAATTTTGACTTTTTATATTAGTTGTTACTAATTTATTGTTGATTTTTTGAATGATGTTAAAAATGGCTTTGAAATTATGCATCTTAATATTTCATCACTTTGTTCTTTAGTCTTCACACGTCTTACAAAAATTAACACTGTATTTGGTAAAAATAATATAATAAAGAAAGGAATTAGTTTCTTTTATTAGTCCCTGCAGGTTGATTTTATTTTATTGTGTAAATACCTACGTATAAGTTTATAAACTTTTCACCGTCACTAAAAATTAGTTGTATATACAATATACGACATAGGTATATGTCATTGATTATTACACTATTCACATAACTAACAGTAGATTCAAAATTAACATTTTTATTTTGTGCGCAGTCGAAAGATTAAATTTTAAACGCATTTGACAATTTTGTTTTTAATTATTGGGTAGGTACAATAGAGATATTATAATTTATAAATCAATTTTATATTATAAGATTATATCATGTTATATAATGAAATCTCAAATTGTAGACAAAATATAGGTTAGGTACCGTCAAATGCTACAACTTGGGGCAAAGATGCCGTAATTTAGTGTTAACTTAGTAGGTAACAGTGCTGTAAATTATAATGGAGATAGGCATACGGATTTTTTTTTATTAGTATCTACAGAAATTTTGCTATTAGCCTATAGTACCTACTATCAATTTTATAAAGTAAAATTTAGTCGGTGTATTTACGTTAACCGTTTATGTGACATAATGACAAAATTTGAAAGCTCTATAAACTTTATCGCCAAGTCATACTTGTCATGAAAATATCGCTAATTACTTTACTAAATATTGTAAATTACCTGTACTTTCATTTAAAAAAAAATGAAATTGAACAATTGTTGAGCTTAATAGCTTGTAATTTATAAAAGTAAATGTAACTTGGGGACTTAGGGCACATTTAAGTTATAATTTTCATTAGAATTTTTTCCTTGTGTAATTAAAAAAAAAAAAAAAACATCTAATAGTGTTTATAAATGTCAAATTATAAAGAAACATTTATATTTCCAAACGGTGGCGGGCCTAGGATTTTGTTTTTTTTTTGGGGGGGGGACTTGAATTTTTCGTGAATCGTGATTATAAGTTTTACGTCACAGTTATATTCTTACACATCTTATGGGCTAAGGGGACGCTTAGGCCCCTCTGGCACCCCTTAAATCCACCACTGTTTTCAAACAGTGGCGTAATTGTGGGGAGGGAACAAGGGGGCATTTGTACCCCAGACAATTTTGTGAGAGGCAATGATATCATTTCCTCCCCCAGATAATCCGATAATACAATTACTATAAAAGGTTTTAATTATGATATAAATAAATCTTTTTGCCTCCTCTAGATTTTTTCCCAGTTACGCCACCTTCAACTAATGTTGATGATAATAAAGAAGTTAAAAAAGAAAATATCATTAAAATTTTTAAATTTGAATCTGAGTATCAAGGTATATTTACTTTTAATATATGATATTATTACCATTTTTATATTAGCTGTTTTGAACATGGGTATTTTTATGTATTATATTTATATGGGAAGACTGATGTTTAATTTTTAAGTCTGAAAATCAAGATAGTTTTGTTACTAACTGTTATATCCTTACATTTTTATATCTTTCTATGTTTATTAGGTACTATATTAATTTTGTTAAAGGAGGTATATATTTATAAGAAAATACTGTTATTTAATTATGTTTTTTTTTTTTATTACTCAAGGTTAAAATTAAAGTATTTTCAATTTTTTTTCCATTTATGCTAAATAATTACATTTTTAAAAATAATGCTTACGTCCCAAGTTGTCATAGACATTGACAACTTTATTTTCAAGCATTTTTAGTAGACTGATCCAAGTTGTAGTACCCTGCGTATAACTTGGAGCAACAAGAAAAAAAAATTAAAAAAATTATACAAAACTATAAAGGTCTTTATTAGCAGTCTAAGAGTTAAATTTTAACACAAAAATCAATACTGTAACTAAATCGGTTAAAAAGTTATGTAAGTTGAAAGTTGAACCTCATGTTGTAGCATTTGACGGACGACGGTACATAATAGCTATACATTACAATACAATATTTTTTTAAATATAGTATAGGTACAAATATAGTATAGGTATAAATTTAGAGATACGATATTAGAATTTTATAAGTTGATTAAACTTAAATTATTGTTATAAGTTAACATACAATATACCTAGTTAAATAATATTGTATTTTTATGTCAATGTTTACATAGTATAAATATAATATGTTTAGTAAGTATTTATAATATCTTCAGCTTGTTGGTTCCAGAAAAAAGATTATAACCTTCCTAACTCCTATTCTCTTCAGTTTTCACATAATACTAATATTTCTTCTAAGATTTAGTTTTTTTAATGCCGGATTAAACTGATATTGGTCCTAACTCCTAGTTATATTCATGATTCATACTTAGTTTTTAAGAACATTTTTTTATAATAAAGCTAATATTTAAGACCCATAAAGGTCAATTAGACAATATTACTATTACCCTGAAGGATAGACTTATCAAAAATTATGTGTTATACTTATAAGATCAAGTTTTAGTAAATACGATAAATGTTTTCCTTACTTAATTCACTTTCAAAAAGTTAAATTTCAAGAATTTAGAATAAAAAAACAGCTTTTGCAGATACGTTCTTACCTTATATATATATATAAACGACAATCTAACCATGTATCTTTAAATATATTTACAAATATGTAATGGAAAATAATTATTATACATTTTAAAATTTAAATTCTAAGAAAAATCATACTGTATTTTTAAAAGGATTTGATTTAATTCTTATTTCTTAGGAATATCCCTCCCAGAATCGCATTCCAGTCTATAATGCTTATAAGAATCTAATATTAAATTGTAGGTATTATATAAATTATGAAAATTTCGTATACATTTTTCCATCTTTTTATTTATTGGTAGTATACATTGGAGTTCATTAACTAACAATTATTTACCTTATTTTTATTGTGGTAGAGATACGCAGGTACCTACTCTCTCATCAGAACCACAGATTTACAGACATATAACAATATTACACGGATCATCATTGGAGTATTGGACATCATGTTGGGTGTACCTATTGATGAATGTTGTGGTGCATATTTTATAGTATTGGTGTGAAGGGTTGCTTTGCTACGACTAAAGGTTGCGTGTTATCATTATATCGATATAGGGTGATACAAACACCTTGCATTTCAATGAAATTAGTCTATGAAAAAAAAAAAAAAAACACTTCTCGATAATTATTGAAACATTGGCAACTATATCAAACGGTGCTCTATGCGACTCCCTCAAATTCACCCCAATATGCTATTATAAAAAGGGTCAATTGGTGTATACATTGTACATTAAGTTCAAATTGAGGTCGCATTATACAATGCATTGTCCCATGCCGCAAAAGGGGGAACAGCGTAGCAAGGAAAAGTGTATATATGTTATATATACGTATACTATACGTATATATTATTGTACACTGACAGACAAAATAAATAGGGTAGACCCTTACGCATATCGTCTATAGCTGCTGGATATACACAATCGTATTGCAGCTGTTTAAAGCTTACGTCACACCCACACATCTAAACTCACACACGCGTGCGCACATCATAGCATATATTATGTATATGTGCGTCCTTATACTCACTCTCACTCTTATTATTATTATTATTTTTTTTTTTTTTGAAGATTTAAGTTTATAATCCGACGTTGGGATCACTAAACTCACGTATTTCGATTTGTTTTTTTTTTTCGCATGTAGATCACCCTAAAGATTAAGCCTTTATCCTAGAATGTTGAGGGGTTGTTATTGAATATAGATTATTTATAAACTATATTCATACATAGATAACACGTGTGTTAATTCGTTTTTAAAATAAATTTTATTAACTCTTTTATCCGAAAACAATGTAAATAAATAATGGTTTGAAAAAAAAAATGAATAAATAATGAAATTATTAAATTTAAAATATTTTATTGAATGTAATAAATGATTTGATATTTGTGAACTTACACTATAGATATAGATAAATTATAGTTAATGCCATAGTTGGAATATATTTTCACGAGAGAAGGGTAAAATTAAACTAAATAGTTGAAAAAAACATCTAAAATTTACTTTGACTATGAAGAAATTGTTCTTCAATATTCATCAATATTCATATTATAGATACTTATACTATAGACAAGATTTTTTTATAAATTACGAAATTATGAAATATTATTAGAAATAGATGTTGGTGATGTTGTATTACACTGTCTTTTCTCAGAATTAATTTTC